TGATATCATTCAACCCACATTTGGCATGATCAAGTTAAAGGCTTTTATCTCTCCTCATACCTGGTACCACCAATCTTGCGTTCAACATAGTGAGACAGATGGCCCCCTAATTTAAGCCACGTCTGGTGCCATGAAGGCACGTTCGGTGTGATGGTGAAATCTACATATAATAGATCCATGATTTGGCTCAATCTGTACCTGAAACTTAGGAAATTTGCATGCAATGCACCAAAACATATCTATACATTATCAGTGACTCATATACAACAAGAATTCAACATGAAATCACCATTTTGATGAACACCCACAAGCTCACCTCAAACGTGCTTTAAAAGCACCAAAACTCACCTAATTTCAATCACATCCAATTCGAATCCAGCCAACCTAATACAATTTTAATGACAACCAAATCAACATGCATCTCAAATGAGTCAAATCCATCAACATGCAACTAAAGATCATCCATTTTCACCAAATTTCTTTCTTGAAAACCAAGAACATCAAAACTCAATAATCAACTTCAACTCAAGCAATTCAACAACACCATTGCATCCATTTAGCACCCAATTCATGCATACAATTTAACGAGAATTTGATCTAGCTTCCCTCATCTCAAAATCCAAGAGAAAGAGAGGAAGAAGGAAGAAGAAACAGTTTCGTGTTCCAAGCTCTGGGAAACACCTCACCACACCATGTGATTTGATTCTCAACTCCAGCAACTTTGAATCATAACTTTGTTGATCAATGGTGATCTCTTACACGCTTAAGAAGCCTGGAAAGAAGAAAGAAGATTTTAGAATCTCAGAACTTCTCTCTCTAGTATCTCTTTAAAGTTCTTTGAAAAATGAGTTTATGAGACTTAAGTCTAAAAAAAACCTTATATACCCTCTCATTAAGATCAAACTAAATCTCTGTCCAGAAAAACCTTCTAAATACCTAAAAACTCTTCAAAAGTTTCTTAACTTTAGGAGTTTCCCAACATCAAGTCCCAAGACATCTCAACACATAACTATTTATAAAACAAAATAATTAATAAATAGTACATTGTTACAATTTATAATTGGATAACACTGTAAAATTATTTTATACTATGAATGATTAGTTTTTTTCTCTATATTTTAGAATAAAAATAGAGAACAAAATACTTTATTATAAAATAAAAAATAAAAAGACAATATAATTGTCATTAATTTATTTGACTATAAAATACAAATAATTTCTTTAATATTAATATAAAAAAAATCAAAATTGTAAAAACTCGGGGGTTGTGCCTAATGTCCGTCCATACCTGAACGCATTGGTACACTTCGACTTCATATCACCCAACCAACCCTGCTAGTTTTGACAAGTTTTCATCATTTAATTCGTAAGTTTGCATCATAATCCTGAGGCAGAAAAGAAAATTCACTCCAGACTACTCTAGATCCATTTATTACTTTATGCTATTCATGTGAAAAACACAACACAAGCCACTAAATTATAATAAGGACTGAGATTACATGCTCAAAAATACATCTAAATGTTAAAGATATGTCTAAAAAACGCATGACAACTTCACAACTGTGACCTCGTTAAAAATATCTACAACACCATTTTAGCAGCTAACTTCAAGATTGTTTTGACTCACCGCAATCACATTAGAATTATAATTACGGTTGCATTTGTTTGTAATTTTGCAATGTAAAGGATCACAAAAAAAGTACAACAACAATCTCAATCTAAAATCTTGATAGCATCGATTACCTTATTTGTCCACAATCAAGGTTTGAGAAATGCAATTTAAAACCTTGGATACGTAGATGCATCATAATAACTAGTAAAGGTACATGTATAAGACTTCGCCCATCAAACTGTACTGTGAATCGGGTTTAACCCTTTGCTAATTTAGTAATATTTAATTAAAATATCTGAAGAAGTAATGTGAGGGAAAATATTGCTCGTGTATGTCCCTCAAGATATATGCATGCATACCATACCATACCGTACAGGTACACATATAGGTGAGGATTATAATTTATCGTATTGTTATTTAAGGATTCGCGTGGTGCACATTATTGGATAGCGGCTTTTCGTCAATATGCATAGCCGATTGATTTCTATATATACTCTTTTCTTCGTTTTCTTCATGCTCTACTCGTATATAGCATTCGTATGAATATTGTTGAAAATATGCTTAAATATTTTTTAGGAGAATAAATTAGTTTTTGATAAAAATATTATATTTATATTTTAAATATTTAGATTTATTCTGTTTTGATTATTTTAGGATTTGTTTTCTTATTTTTAGAATAGGATAATATTAATATTTGATTTTGTATAACAAATTGTCTCTATAAATAGAGATCTCATAAATAAAATTAGATTATACTCCTCTGATAAAAAATAAATCTTATAAAATATTCTCTCAGACAAATATCATAAAATAACCCTATCAGTGGTATCGATTAGAGCTGCAAGGTTGAATGTGGTAACAACCCTCATAACTCATAACATATAATGTGATATATAAAAGACAGATTCCGCTGCAAGAAAGGTCAGGTCCTTTATTTGAAGGAAAGATTATTGGGATACAAACAAGTTCCACATAGATAAAATAAGAGGAAAAAAACAACTTATAAAGCACACACATACTCCAATGTTAGAGAGGTCTTTTGGGTAATGACCAAAAGTAAAACCGTGATGGCTTAGGCCTAAAGCAGACAATATCTTATCATTGTAGAGTTGTGTGTGTAATAACCTTGTAAAAATAACTCTCATAAAATATTCTCCAGACAAATACTATAAAATAACACCCCATCATTGGTATCTAGAACTAAGGTTATGACCTGTGGAGATGGAAGAAGAAACAAACTTTTCACAAATTTCCTCACCTATTTTTGATGGAGAAAGTTATGATCTTTGTACAGTAAGAATGAAGACATACCTAAAAGCTTTAGATCTCTAGGAAGCTGTAAAAGAAGATTATGATGTTACTGCGTTTCCAGACAATCCTACCGTAACCCAAATGAAAATTCACAAGGAAAATAAAATCAAGAAGGCAAAGGCAAAAAGTTGTCTCTTTGCCTGTGTTTCAGAAAATATTTTCACCAGGATCATGACTCTTAAATCAGCAAAAGCAATTTGAGATTATCTAAAGGAAGAATATGCTGGAGATGAAAGGATTCGAAGCATGCAAGTATTAAATTTAATGAGAGAATTTGAGATACAAAGAATGAAAGAGACTGAGGCAATCAAACAATACTCAGACAAATTGTTTGGCATTGCTAATAAGGTACGATTACTAAGAACACAATTTCTTGATTCTAGAATTGTTGAAAAAATTCTAGTAACTATACCTGAAAGATATAAAGTTTCAATAGCGGCCTTGGAAAACACAAAGGATCTGAGTAAAATCACTTTGGTTGAGGCGTTACATGAATTGCAAGCATTAGAACAAAGGAGGCTTATGAGAGAAGAAGTATCTATGGAGGGTGTATATTTAGCCAAATGGAAGAGCAACAATGGTGGCAAAAACAAGAAAAATGAATATTGTTCCAAGAGAATAGTCAAAATAATAGCACTAAAATTTTCCCACCATGTCCTTATTGTAAAAAGACTAATCATCCACAATAGAGATGTTGGTGGAGACCTGATTCAAAATATGACAAGTGCAGACAATTAGGACACCTAAAATATGTATACAAATCTCATGAGCAACAAGAAGAAGCCAACATTGTTGAAGATCAACAAGAAGAGGAAGAAGAACAACTACTTTTAATGTTATGCTTTATGACCAAAAAAACCCTCAAAAGCTTGGATTATTGATAGTGGTTGTATAAACCATATGACTTATGATCGAGAACTCTTTAAAGAACTCAACAAAACTGAGATCTCTAAAGTCCAAATGGGGAATGCAGCACACTTTACTGTAAAAGGTAAAGGAACACTGGTTATTAAAATTCATTCAAGTTTGAAATTAATATCTGATGTTTTGTACGTTCTGAATATTAATCAAAATTTGTTGAGTGTTGCTCAATTGTTGAGAAAAGGCTATAAAGTGTTATTTGAAGATAATAATTGTGATTAAAGATGTAAACAAACAAAGAAGTATTCAATGTTCATACAAAAGGCAAGAGTTTTACTTTAAATTTGGAGACGAAGAAGCCAATTATAAATGAACATACAAGTGAAAAACACAAAGATGCATGTCTTCAAAAGAAGTTTGATGATCAAGAGGAGAATGAAGATGATGAAAAATTACCTTCAAAAGAGAAGTTCAAGACAAATGCTAAAGTGGTCCCACTCAAGAAGAATTGCAAAAAAAATCACAAAAAAGAAGAAATTGATCAAAAAGAGAAAAGATAGATTTTGAAATTCAAATTTAAATTAGGTGATAAAAATATTCAATCAAGAGGAGTGTTGAGAATATGCTTAAATATCTTTAGGAGAATAAATTAATTTTTAATAAGAATATTTTATTTATATTTCAAATATATAGATTTAACCTGTTTTAATTATTTTAGGATTTATTTCCTTATTTTTAGAATAGGATAATATCAATATTTGATTTTGTATAACAAATTTTCTTTATAAATAGAGATCTCATAAATAAAATTAGATTATGCTCCTCTGATAAAAAATAACTCTTATAAAAATATCCTCTTAGACAAATATCATAAAATAACTCCATCATAATACCGTGGTGCACCATTCATGAAGAATTCAGTTCCATTTACTTAAAGAAATTAGCATAATAAATATGATTTGAACTCTAAGCCACTTTAAAAGCTTTCGATCTTTTCAATTTTGGAAATTTTTTTGTTTAATAGAAAGATTCTTCGGTGTTTCAACTGCATTGTATTCAAGCATAACGTATGAGAAAGAATTTAAATGGTTAAATTCAGATTGTTGATTAAATTTAATATATTAAAACGTGTAAGCCTCATGGTAAGGCCTTTAGGTGACTCTAGAGTATTGAAATCTGCTATATATCACAACCTTCTACCAATTGAGAATTGAGCTGTTAATTAACATAAAAATATCTCATTTGATCTAATATTTGAAGCCATAATACGTTGCACTGTAGTACATACATACTAATTAATACATATATATGTCTAAACTGGAAAGTTGCAAATCAGAATAGGAAGAGAAGGAACCAACATATATAAGCAAGTTAAAGATATGATGCACTTCATTACTTTAAGTATCAGTTTGGCACATACAATCTATCCAACTAGCCACGCTTATTATTATCAATAACCAAAGAGAGAAAATTGTAGTACAACATATCACAGAAAATCTCCAAGCAGTACCTTCTTGAACATGGATGAATAGCACCCTCGTGACCTGGCATTACCAAAGCACAAACTCGAACTAGTCACCTCATATAGATCTTCATCTTCTTCCCCCTTCCTCGAATGAATCATCGGAGAAGATGGCACCGAGTATGACTTTGGCCGTGGCGATGACAACGACAATGATGATGACGAAGAAGAAGAGGGAGAAGAAGAGTAGGACAAAAAATTTGAAGATCTAGATTGAGGAGGAGGAGCACCTTTTCTAGTAGCACGCTTGGGGAATATAGTTTGCAAAAAGGAGGCTTTTGGTGAGTTCTTATTCTTGGCCTTAATAGTAGTTTTGGTAGCATTTTGGAAATAAGAAGGTGGTGGTGTGAGAGGAGGGAGAGAATTTTCTTTGAATCTAACCTTTGGAGTACCTGGTTGAGATTCCCACACAAAGGGTACTGAAGCAGAATCACAACCATGGTAAGCTTCATTAGAGAGATTGGACAATTCCCTTGCTAGCTTCTCATGATCATCAAGGCACATCACCATGTCCTTCTCCTTCTTCTGCTGTACAACGATGTTAGAAGAAGGCCTTTGGAGAGTGTTTGAAGGCTTTGGCATGCTTAATTACAATAGCTAGGGTATGTAGATGTGGCAGAATCAGTAGTGTAATGCATATATATGAAATTATGTGTAGGAGATGGGAAAGTGTAAAAGAGACATGTTCAAAGGGTTTTGGTGATGTGAAGGAGTAGTTTAAGACTTTTTTAAGTTTAACAAATGGGAATCTATAACATGAGGTTGGGTGTTGATAGTGGGTGGCTTGTGTATGTTTAATTTAAGTGGTTTCCACATTCCAGTGGAATTTTGGATCGTTGAATAAGAAAAAAAGGAAGTCAACTATGTACACTTGTGGCAGGTTAGTTAATGGCGCTTAATTCACGTAAAGATAATAAAATGACTCTTTAATGATTAATTGCTCATAGAATATTTATAGTTCCTAGATTCAAGTCAGATCAATTTTATTTGTTTATTGTTATATCAAATATAATAATATGGGGAATGAACAAAGGATGAAGTGGAATACAAGGCTCAAATCAAGGCAATAGCTAGCTAGCGTTTTTTTTCTTCTTTTTTTTTATTTAACTTTTTATTTTTAGTCGCATTTACTTAAATTTTGATCCATGATCTCAAAACTTTGTGTTGAATACAAGTCAAGTGCGAGAAACCCTAGCTAGAGTCAAAACTTAAATTGCATTGGCGCTAGAAAATTGTTAAAAATTAAATGTTTTCTATACCCTATTCTTTCACTTTTATTATTCCTTATATCTTTTAATTAGTTGGTATAATGTTTTTCTTACTGTATTGTGAGTTGAATAAAATATGAATAAGGAATAATGATGCTTATCTATACTAATAATAACGAGTACTGCTATTTAGGGTCTCTTTTTATTTTATTTTTATTTTATCTTCATAAATACACTTAATACAATAACCACACAAATTATGAAGAGAAATTTATTTATTTTAACAGAGATATAGAATATCCTTTTTCTATTAGTATATAATTTACATATATAGAAACTACAGTCGTGTCATAAGAATCACGGTATCAATCTCGATTAAGAAACACTATTTCTTTAAGATTTTTAATTTTTTTTGGACAAATTAATTGTATTTCAATAAGAAAAAATATATATGTAAAATCTATAATTACTAAACTTTTAAATCATATTTTATTATTTTAAATAAATAAAATAAAACAAAACATATATCTTAATATAAATTCTTCATATGCTATCAATCGGAACGAGTCACCGAGTGGAATATTTTTTTTATTGGAAGGACCTTTACCTTTAAGTTGCAACAACGTCTTATGAATTAGTCTCACAATAAATCTTATATATAATCAAAAGGTTAAAAGAAATCTCCCTTCACTATGGATTATTAGATGTGTTTTATTGCGTTACGCAATTCAATGTTTACCTTTTTGAACATGAATATCTTCTTAATTAATTATCCATCTCAAAGAGCAAGACAAGCAAAGCAAAACATGGCGTATGGCAATACCAACTCTAATTAATGAATGGAAGATGAAGATGCGCACGTGCTACTCTTTCTCGAAGCACGTGCCATGTCAGGTCTCATTTATTTTAATTTTTTTGTCAACCATTGGATCCACTCCTCGTCCTTCTCCAATAGGCAATTATTAGGACTGTTTTCATTAGCTAATTCATACATTTTTAATTATAAATATAATATATAGTTTAATTAGCACTTGCTGAGAATTATGAATGTATAATTAATGATAAAATAATATATACACTTGTGATGTAAAACTTTTGTACATTATTATTCAATAACATATCGGTGTATGTACGATGAATTTGTTAATTGTCATAACACTTATTTTAAAAATTAAGTTAAAAAATATTTTAAATTAGTTGATGATATAAAAATATTTTCACACAATATTTATATTAACTTTTAGGGTGTGTTTGTTACACATTAAGTTATGATACAAGAAGAAGAGTAAAAGAAAGAAATGTTTAAGTTAGATAACTTTTTATTTTACACGTTATTTAATGAAAATGAATGAAATACAAATAAAATAATTTCAATACTAGTTATTTTAGTAAATTATTATTAATTATATTAATGAGGTAATTAGTGATAATAATATTGATAACAATAAGAATAACAATGATAATAATAATTATAATAATAATAATAATAATAATAATAATAATAATTAAAATATTAGAAATATAGTCATAATAACATTCACAATAAAAATAATAATAATACATAGGAGACGATGATAACAATAAACATAAGAACAAGAATGATAATAAGGGATAAGGTGATGGTGGTGTAACATTAATAATTATGATAGTGGGTATTTTTGTCTCTTGAATATTATGTATTTAAGATAAAAAGTTATGTTATAATTTCTTGAGTGATAAGAAAATAAAGTTGTTATCCTATCTTTGACTAATTTATCTTGTCTTAAGATCTTTTCATAAGTCAAATATAAAATAATTATATTTCTTTTATTCAGTATTATAAATTTTAGTAAATCAAACATACTATCAATAAAAATATATTATTTATCCAACAATTCTTTACAAAATCAGTTTTATGTCCATTATATCGATCACCCCATCATGCTACACATCTTGACCCATCTCTTATATGCGGGGAAAAGGTTGTGCAAATATTTCTGTGATTAAATACCAAAGAAAATTCTGAGTCGATGAGAAAGGGAGAAGAAAGATGTTACCCACTCCCAAATAGTTGCCCAACAAACAACGTGAGTTAGGCTATCCCAATCACTGTTAGTACGAATTCTTTGTAATTTAATGGAATGTTAACACTTTATGAGTTGAAAGAACCGCAAGACTACAAAGTGAGCAGGCACAAATTGATACATGAATTGTGACTAGCTAACGGCATATTGTAGTAACTTAAATCAGACTCTGGATTTGTGAACTGACCACCTAACAAAAAAATAATCGAGCAGAGATATATATCACAAAAGTGGAGCTTAGGATTAATTGATCAAGTCTCCTTCGCAAGGGAAAGCGACCAATACTTTTTTCTGTAACGAACGAACCAAGAAATAAGACAAAGAATCTTTGTTCTTCTTCTAGATTGCCAGCAAGGTTTTTACAACCAAATTGTTCTTTTCTGAAATCCAAAATATCCCAAGTTGTTATATATAAAGTGGAGGGATCAAATTACTATTACTTCACTTAATAATAATATGATATATTTTAAATTTTAATGATTCAATTGTAAAATTAATTAAGAGTATTTAATGCATAGATTAAGTTTACAAATTTTTAAATTTGAAAATCATATAATACTTTGTTATATAGATTTAAATCAACATATAAAATATTTTTATGATTATTCATCAAGTTAAATTAATAAAATGAAATATCAAATAGTTTTCAAATTTTTAAAAAATTTGTAGACTTGTGTAAAGAAGAGTGATCAAATTACTCAAAGAGTAACTCTTGGTAAAGTCATTCCATTCAATAATTGTAACAATCTAACAGATCTTGCATTTACTATAGTTCAGCTATTACACAATAGAAAAAGTAAAACAACATACAACTAGCCTAGAGTTATTGTGCAATAGTTATATATAGACTATAATATATACATTATACATGTATAGAGTAGATAATGAAATGCGAAAAATAAAGTCCCCTACAAGTTATACACATACCATGTACACTTATAGTATCTACATCAATACATGATTGTAAGCAAAATAAATCCTACTTGTTGGTCAAACAACTAAACAAGACTTGAATATACCTTAGAATAACCTCAATAAAAGAAGTCATTATCAGCATGACTCACCACCAAAAATCTCCAAACAGATCTACTAATCTTGACCTATTTCCATACTAAAGTATAATAATAGCAATTCTAACTATAAGGAAAACATAGCAAAATTTGCTCAAAGCGCTCGAAATTCACTCTAAGTGACCCAAGTCTGAGAGCACCTTCGAATTGGTTACACCAACTCGCTTTAAGCGAGTTAGTTCTCACCTTGAGCCACCGTAATTTGCTCTGAGTGTTTACATCTTATGCTCTGAACAAGCCAAGTCAAGGATAACCCCACTAAATAGTCTCGTTTACTCACTTTGAGCGACCACTAAAGGTGTTGTAAGCGAGCAAGTCCAAAAACATGCACAAAAACATCAAGAACGAACATGGAATCTCATTAACAACTTTCCTTCTTTAAAAAATCCTCTTATCCCATACAACCATTCATACATGCAACTCAAACTCTAGCATCTATGAACAACCACCACTCAAAAATCAAAGAAATTGAGAACATGTGACATCAACACATTACCCAAACCATAAATTTTCCCAATTTCACCAACAACACCAAGAACCTAGAATACCTAAGTTCTAACACAAGTCTTAATTTTAATGCTTACCAATGCATGAACCCATTCAACAAAACACCATACACAACATACAAGATCAAACAACAAGCTTTGCTTACCTCTTTTAAATCCAAATCAAACAAAGGAAAAGAGAAGAATGGACTTCCCCACAACCATAGGCACAAGACTTCCAAACTTCAGGAGTTCAAATCTTCGATTAGCCAAGTAGATCAACTACAAGACGGAAGAAGAGATAAGTTCTCAATTTTAGAAGAAGCGGAAGAAAATACGAATTCAGAGAACCTCTATCTAGCTTCTCTTTAGAATCTTCTAAAACATGAACTTATGAGGCTCACGTCTTAAGAAAACCTTATGTACTCTTTGCTAATTTTCAAATATGCATTCATATTTTATTCAATTAAGTCAATTATTGATATATATTATGCTTTTAAATCTTATTTTTGGTCACAAAAGACTTAGTTGTGATGATAATTTAAATTTAAATTTATTTATTTGAATATTAGATTTTTTGTGTTTTTCTTTGTTAAAATATCACGGGGAGAAGATAATTTGGAAGGTTACAAAGTCTCAACTGAAATTATTTCTCCAGACTATGTTCAAAGCTACCAAAAATTTGCTCTAAGCAAGCCAAGGCAAAGGATGACACTGGAAGCAAACATTTGGTCGCTCAAAGCGACTCTCCAAGGCTCTTTTAGTGAGAAGAATTCGCTCAGACCCTATAAGCAAGAAGAATTCACTCAGACACTCAAAGTGAGAAGAATTCACTTAGAACTACCACAAATTTGTTCTAAGTGATTAAAGACAGAGGAAAACCCTAGAAGTACTCACTTAGTCACTCAGAGTGACAAACATCGACGCTTTA